AAATTTACATCAAGGTCTCACTAGGTCCAGGAACACAATCAGTACTGCCCTAGCAGAGGTAGGTGCCACACATGCCCTTGTTTCTCAAAAATAAAAAGGAGGGGCAGGTCCTGTGATGTAGCAGGTGAAGCTGCCGCCTGCAATGCTGGCATCCCATATGGCTGCCAGTTTGTGTCCCAGCTGCTCCATTTCAGATCCAGTTCCCTGCTAATGACCTGGGAAAGCAGTGGAAGATGGCCCAAGTGTTTGGTCCCTGCCACCCACATGGGAGACCTGGAGTAAACCAGCAGTTGGAAGATTGTCTCTCTCTCTTTCTCTCTCTCTGTAATGTTGACTTCCAAGTGAAAAAATTTTTTAATTCTTTTTTTTAAAGAAAAGAATACAATGGAGTGATTTTGCTTGGTGTGATCAGGAAGCCAGTAAAAACTTGAAACTGACTTTTATTAGTGTCCACTGGATTCTAGACTCTGCACGAGGAAACAGGAGAACCTTCCCTTCTGTAATCCTCGAAAATCAAAACTACAAACATTTGTTCAACATATTTGAATGCTTTGGGGCCAGCGTTGTGGCACAGCAGGTTAAGTGGCCACTTGCAATCCTTGCATCTATCCCACTTCTAATCCAGTTTCCTGTTAATGAGACTGGGAAGGCAGTAGATGATGGCTCAAATACTTGGGCCCCATGTGGGAAACCCAGATGGAGTTCCTGACTCTTGGCTTCAACCTGGCCTAGACCTGCAGTAGCTGACATTGGGAAGTGAACCAGCAAACGGTTAGTCTCTATCTCTCTGTCTCTCTCTGCCTTTCAAATAAATAAATAAACCTTAGGGGGAAAATAATTGAGTGTTTTAAACTGGAGGTTGAAGATAGGAGAAAAGAACATTTAATTTCTCATTTTTTAACCATTTCTGCATTATTTAAATTTTTAAGCCACATGAATTTAATTATGCTTGTAACCAGCTAAGACTGATGTTATCACCAATTTCACAGATGAGGAAACCAAGACTCAACAATATTACCTGGCTTTTTTGCAAGGCCTGACAGCTTGAAAATGATGAAGCCAGTCCTCGCCTTGAAACTTTAGGCAGTTCGTTCTTAGTAACCTTGTGATCTCACCAATGTGGCATTGGTTGTCCACTGAGAAAATACAGCTATGGTAAGATAAAGAACTGGAAGAAATGGAATTAAGAAAATGGAGCTACCACCAGGGGCCTGGGGAAGGAAGCTGACTGGAGCTAAGTAAATGAATTGCTCAGCAAAGACGAGGGACTGCTAAGATGGGAACTCATCAATTTGTGATGGGGCCAATTATATAATTTTTCCCAGGGGTGCTGGGAGAGTTCAGAAGCAGTTGATTCAGGATGAGCAAGACAGATGGAGTGTTAAACAAGAAAAAGTCTTGAGAGGACTTGCAGTTTAAAAGCAGGAAAGTATTCATGGAGCCTGTCTTCCATGCCCTGAGTAAATGCTTCAAACACACGTAGGAGTAAGGAATAAAGCCATGGTGGCAAGGAGAATTGCACAGAGCGACACCAGCTTCATGAAAAAGGCACGTAGATAGGCAGAGGCTCCGTGAACTGGGCAGACGCTGCCTGGGAGGAAGAGCAGCCAGGCTGCCCCGGGGATTCTCTACAAGACTCTGAGCTCAAAGTCAGCAGATGGGAGAGGGTGAAGTGTGGAGGGGAAGCAGGCGACTCCCTGGGGATGCCAGAGGGTGGGGGAATGCACATCGGTGAGCCCCTCCCTTCTCATCTGTCCACCCACGCCCATCTCCAATGCAGGGCCCAAAAATTCATCAAAAAGTCCTTCTTGGGGGCCATGTAGTGATACTGTAATGTGGGCTTCCCATACTGATGTGGGAAAAGTCAGGGACACAGTTCATGAGCTGGAGGTCACACCTCCCCCACCCTCATGTAATCATATCAACCCACCCCCAGAATGTACCTGGGGAAAGCTCTCTTTCTCTCTCTCTCCCCTCATGCACTCAGGGAAAGCAGAGTATGGAAGTCCCTCAATACCTGGCCCACTCTCCCTTAATAAACCCTCATGTACCAGTGTATTCTCACTCTGTAAATAAACCTTATCATGCTGCATGATGTGTTTGTACTTTCACTTAGAATTCTTTAAGTAAAAGGCAGGAACCTGAGATAGGAGTTTGAGCCTAACCTAGCCCAGAATAATATGAGCACTAGTACAAATCCTGGCTGCTCAGTGATGGTCCAGCTCCCTGCTAATGTTCCTGGAAAAGCAGCAGATGATGATCCAAGTGCCTGGGCCCCTAAACACACACTGGGAGACCTGGATGGAGTTCCAGGCTCCTGGCTTCAGCCTGGCCCTGCCCCAACTGTTGCAGCCATTTGGGGAGTGAATCAATAGATGGAAGATCTCGATCTCTCTCTTTCTGTCTCTCTTTCTCTCTCTCTCTGTAACTCTACCTCTCAAATAAATAAATAAATCATTTTAGCAAAAAGACACAAGGTGGCCAGCACCGCGGCTCGCTAGGCTAATCCTCTGCCTGCGGCACCAGCACCCCGGGTTCTAGTCCCGGTCAGGGCACCGGATTCTGTCCCGGTTGCTCCTCTTCCAGTCCAGCTCTCTGCTGTAGCCCAGGAGTGCAGTGGAGGATGGCCCGGGTCCTTGGGCCCTGCACCCGCATGGGAGACCAGGAGGAAGCATCTGGCTCCTGGCTTCGGATCGGCACAGTGTGCCGGCCGCCACTTGAGGGGTGAACCAACGGCAAAGGAAGACCTTTCTCTCTGTCTCTCTCCCTCTCACTGTCTAACTCTGCCTGTCAAAAAAAAAAAAAAAAAAAAAAGACACAAGATAAAAAAAAAATCCAATTTTATTTGCAGAAAGATTTGCAAAGACATCACTTTTTAAAACCATACCAGGATGCTGTGAAAGAAACCAAGCAGAATACAATGAAGAAAAAAATTATCCTCAAAAGAAGTATAGAAATTAAAAAAAAACATAGTTTAGATAACTCCTTCACAGCCAAAGACAAATGCATGAGATATAAGAGAAAATAAACTACAAACAACCAGTTTATAAGTTCCAAAATCCAATTAGCAGGAATCCTGGAGAACAGGAAAGGAAGAAGCAAGAGTGAGTACAGCTAAAGTGAAAGACAATTCCCTGAGATACAGAAAGACATCCCTGTTGGGTTAAAAGGGCCTAGAAAGTGCCTGCAACAATGAACAAACAAAGCCCCGTGCTGAGACATCCACTCATTCATTCATTCATTCACACAACAAACATCATGCATTATTTTACACTTATTGTGATGCAAAAAATTTCTACATCCAGGCATAGTTTTTTGATAATATGCATTTTCCATGAGCTTTTTGGAGATGCCTCTTCCTAGCAGGAATGCTACTATTATGTAGACAGAGATAGTAACTGTTCTCAGGGAGCTCAGACTTCAGAGCTTTGCAAGAATGAAGCAAAGAATTAAACCAAATAATTTCAGATCATGTTAAGTGCTACCAGGGATTTAAGGAAAACTAACATAATTAAACGTGAGTGGGTGGAGAGGATTTGGTTCTCCTGTGCAAAGAGAGAAAGCCTCTCCAAGAAGGTGGCATAGATGACTGTGTAACGCATGGCCTCTGTGGTCTGGACCTCAGTTCTGTCATCTGTGAAACCAGCATAACAATGACACCTGCCTGACAGGACTGCTGTGAGGATTCCTGAGCTAACATATGTAAAGCTCTTGGGAGAATGCTTGGCATGCAGTAGGGGCCATAGAAGGGTGAGCTAGGCTTCATATTGTTGCCACTAACACATGCTTTATGAAGGCCCAGAAAAGTGTGTATTGAATGCTCTATGTGGTTATGAAACAGAACAACTTAAAAGCATATAGTTGGGGCCGGCACTGTGGTATAGTAGGCAAAGTCTCTGCCTGCAGCGCCAGCATTCCTCAGGGGCACCGTCGGTTCAACTTTCGGCTCCGGCTCCCTGTTAATGCACCTGGAAAAGCAGTGGAAAATGGCCCAAGTACTTGGGTCCCTGCACCCACATGGGAGACCCAGTAGAGTCTTCTGGCTCCTAGCTTTGGATTGGCCCGTCTCAGGCCTTGGCAGCCATTTGGGGAGTGAAGCAGTAGTTGGAAAACTTTTCTCTCTGTCTCTCCCTCTCTCTGTCTGTAGCTCTATCTCTCAAATAAATTAATATATATATGATATGTATATATATATATATATACACACATTCATAGTTTCTTATATAAAGAAACCCTGGAAGGCTACACAAAAAAATGAAAACAAGTGGTTACCTGGGACATATATTTACTTGGAGAGTAGAAATAAGTAGGTGCATGAAGGAATTGGGTTAGAACAAAGCTTTTGATTGTATTTTATGTTTTTAAGCTATGTGAACGTATTACCTATTCAAAACAATATATTGAAATCCATACATGGGGGAGGCATTTAGCCTGCAGTTAAGATGTCCACATCCTGCACTGGAGCACCAGGCTTCTTCCTCTAGCTCCCCTTCTGACTCCAGCCTCTGGTAATGTGCAACCTGGGAAGCCACAGGTGATGGCACAAGTAGTGAGGCCCCTGCCACCCAAGTTGAGACCCAGACTGAGTTCCTGGCTCTCTGCTTTGGCCTAGGCCAGCCCCAGACATCATGGGCATTTGGGGACCCGAACCAGCAGAGAGGAACACTCACTCTCTCTCTTTCTACCTCCCCCATCTCTGCTTGTCAAATAAGTAATAATAAATAATATATACATTAAAAAAAAAACAGAACAGTCTCATTAAGCCAACAAGTATTTCTTCCTCATCTTCCATAATCAAAATGCTATGGGAGTCACCCTGGGAGAGCAGAAAGGGATGCAGAAGGAGGTGAGACCCCGGTCTCTGCCCTCCAGGAGCGTGAGCCCCCCAGAAGAGACAAAGCAGGCAGGGAGAACAGCAGGGCGGCAGGACCCAGGCTGAACTCAGCACAGAAACAGAACTCACTTCTCCCTTCCATCAGACTGAGGCCAGAGTTACTTACCCTGTTGTATACGGGATGTTTATGCCGCCTAGATTAATACTTTCACATCCAACAATAAACAGGGTTGAGAAGCACAGTAAGGACACACCACTGCAGATCATGGCCAGTTTTGCAGATTCTCGGGCACCGAGTTTCAGTTTTTTTATAATGTAGCCTCCTAGCACAATGCCGACACCAGCACTGGGGACAATGATGACGCCTGGAGAGAAGAAGAGTAGAGGATTAATTTGAATCAGTGTGCAGGCGTGTTTGTCTTTTCCAGTGGTTCTGGTTCTACTTGTTCATTAGCAATGAAGACTCCAAAATTACCATAATCATCAAATCTTCAGTGTGCATGATTTGATTGCATAATAATATTTTCAATACCCACAGTCAACAAAGGAGTCATATCAAGACAACACAAAAAATTCTTACAAAGCAATAAAGACAAACAGCCCAGTGGAAAAGTGACAAAAGTTGAATAGGCCCTCCACTGAAGAGAAAGTCCAGGTGACCAATAAATAGATGAAAGTCTCTCAACCTCATTACTAAGAGGTAAGTTCAGATTAAAGCTCCTGTGAAATACCACCCAACGGGCTGGCACTGTGGCGTAGCAGGTAAGGCCGCCGTCTGCAGTGCCGGCATCCCATATGGGCACCAGTTCAAATCCTGGCTGATTCACTTCCAGTCCAGCTCTCTTCTATGGCCTGGGAAAGCAGTGGATGATGGCCCAAATCCCTGGGCCCCTACACTCACATGGGAGACATAGAGGAGGCTCTTGGCTTCGGATTGGTGCAGCTCCAGCCATTGCAGCCATTTGGAGAGTGAACCAGCAGATGGAAGACCTCTCTCTCTCTCTCTCTCTCTCTTTCTCTGCCTCTCCTTCTCTCTATATGTAACTCTTTCTAATAAATAAATAAATCTTTAAAAAAAAAAAAAAGAAATACCACCCAACACCAAGCATGATGGTGTTGATGCAAAACTATGGTAATATTGCATGTTGGCAAAAATACGGTGCTGGGAGCTCTCCACACAGTGAGGGGGTATACATTTCAATGGGCACTTTGAAAACAGACCAGGCAGAGTTCCATTCCTAGACCCATACCTGAAGAAACTCATGCACATGGGTGTCAAGAGAAGTTTAAAAGAGATCTGAAGCATCCCACTAGCCAGAACAGGAATAATGCAAATGTCCACCAATGGATTTTTTATACGTAATATTTCATATGATAGACTACTTCTATATAGCAATAAACAGGGAGTAACATGGCCACCCACAACTACGTGGATGCATCATACAATAACAATGTTGAGTGGAAGAAATAAAATGCAGCTGAGTGCACTAGACATGATTACATTCATATAAAGTTCAAGAACTGGTAAAACTGAACTGTGTTGTCTAAGATCATACACTGGCAGTGCCACTAGAGAAAGCCCAGGAAGCAACTGCCACAAACGCTAAGGAAATCGGGGAAGAGCTGGTACCAGGAAGGGATGTGGGTGCTCCTCTGCTGCTGGAAATCCCCCACTCCACTACCTGGGTAAACAGACATTGCTGTGAACAGCGTGTTTGTGTCCACCCCATTCCTGTGTGAGACCCAAACCCCACAGTGGTGGTATCAGAGACTGGGGCTTTGGGGAGGTGATCGGTCATGAGGATGGCAGCCAGAAACACAGCGGTGTTTAAGAGGTCTAGGAGCTCCCTTGCCCCTTCCATTGGACAGTGAGAAATCGGCCATCTATGGCCCAGGAAGAGGACTCTCACTGGATATCACATCAACTGGGCACCTTCATCTTGGGCTTTCCTCTAAACGTGTGAAAAATAAAATTGTATTATTCATACACCACACCATCTGTGGTAATTCTGTTATAGAAGCCTGGTTGGACTAAGATAGTTATGCAAGTGTTCATGGTCCAATTGTTCATCATCTTTAAATTTTGATTAATGCACTTCTGGGTGTGTTGTATTTCACAATAAAAAATAAAGAAATAGTCATGGCGCCCCCCTCCCCAAGAAGCTTATCATCTAAAAGAGCAAGATGTGGGTTAATGAACGATCAGCATACAATAAAATAACTAAATACAGGGAAAGAAACACCTGAGTCCTCCCTGGAAGAAATCAGCAAGGGCTTCTCATACCTGGCTGCATTTGAGCTGATCCTGTCCAGGTGAGACAGAATCTGCCCAACAGACCAGCAAAGAGAAACTATCCTGCACTAAGGCAAGGAAATATCAGGAAGCAGAATTGAGGTTCAGAGCTGTCCAAAGTATTGGGAGCATGGAATACAAGGGACCTAGGGAGGAGGAGGAAGGAAGAGGAAAACCAGAGACCGTGTAAAGGAACCTATGCTGCACCTCTGAGCAGTGGGAAGCCACGGAGAACTCGCAGCCAGGTCAGATGCAATGGGAATTGTGTATTATAAACACCACTTTTTTTTTTTTTTTTAAGAAAAAGGATTGGTTGACTGATTTACTTGAAAGGCAGAGAGACAAAGGGGGAGAAACAGCGAGAGAGAGAATTTTGTATCTGCTGGTTCACTCCCCAGATGGCTGCAACTGTAGCTACCACCATTACAATGGTGTCATAGAAAATCAAGGAAAGATCATTTCAAGATGGAAATGAACAATGTCATCATTGCTTATTAGAGAAGTCCAATCAGCAAGACTGAAATGAGACAAGTGAGTCACTGGAGATGCTGGCAGGGGCAATTCTAAGGGTGTCTTAAAGGAAGAAGCCAGACTCACATGGGCTGAAAAATCCGTCACAAAGATCTAGAGACTGGGAGTTCACACCACTCTTTCTAGAACTTTGTGGAAAAGAAGCAGGGCTTTGGGTCTAAGAGAGTGAGGCCCAGGTAGAGTTAGGGCTTAGGGGAGAGGGCTGTCTGTGGGCCATGATGCAGAGGGAGCATAAACACACTCGTACACTGAGGAAAGCAGAGTGACAGGGAAAAGTTTAGTTAATGACTATGCAAGATCCTTGAGAAGTCAGAACACAGACTCAGCCAGTAGCACAGACAAGGGGCTTAGCCCTGCACAGGGAGAGACTCCTTCACCCAGGCTACAGCAGATAATGCATCATCAAGTTGAGTTACAGTTCCACAAATATTAGATTTTTCTATTTTCCTACTTTGACTTTATTTTGGAGACAAAATGCAATATGTATTCTAACAGAACATTTGAAAAACATCAAAGTATGAAGGAACAAAATCCCCCGGCTTAGTTTCTGGCATATCTCATTGAAGCCTTTTTTCCTTAGAGAACTGATAACATGCTATAGATTTCCTTTTACAGCTTTGGATGGGGGTGGGGGGGGGCTGGGGAGTGGAAGGGGTTTTCATGCTATTGAAAATAAAACCAACTCTTGGACGGAAGGGATATTGAGAACACTAAATGAAGCCAAGAGTTGGAATAGCCATTGTGAGAAAGTGAAGTGAGAACTCAGTAAAAATATAAGAATTTTTTAAGGTTGGTTGGCATGTCCCAGGGGCCAGACAATATCAGGTTCCAGAAATCCACAGCTGTGTCAGTCAGTACATATGTTGGATGACGGGTTCCAGAATGTTCGCCAGCCCACTTAAGGAAACTGGGGAAGAGCATTAGATTAATTTACACCTAAGTTTTGCCTGAAGGTTCATCTTGTAATCCTCACTAAAGTCCTATAAGATCAGCCATGGCCCTTTTACAGGTGAGGAAACAGGAACAGCCGTGACTTGCCAGGTAGTGCATAGTGCAGCAGGGAGAGGCCTAAGGAAAACTGGCCTCTGTTCCCAGCCCAAAACTTGGACCACGTGACCACAGAAGCCCCCGCAGGGCACAAAATCCCTGGAATTGTGTAAGTAAATTGACCAAAGCTCTTAGGGCAAGATGAGCTCATTTGGAAACAGCATCATGGTTTTAGTGGGTAAAGCCATCGCCTGCAATGCCAGCATCCCATATCGGCACCAGTTCAAGCCAGCTGCTCCACTTCCAATCCAGCTCCCTGCTTATGTGCCTTGGAAAGCAGAGAAAAATGGTCCAAGTGCTTGAGCCCCTGATATCCATGTGAGAGACCTGCAAGAAACTCCTGGCTCCTGGCTCCTGGTTTTGGCTTCCCATAACCATGAGCAGTGTAGCCATCTGGTGAGTGAACCAACAAATGGAAAATCTCTCTCTCTCTCTCTCTCTCTCTCTCTCTCTCTCTCTCTCTCCTCTGTAGCTCTTTCAAATAAATAAATTAACATTTTTTAAAAAAAGATGAACTGGTTACTAAAATCTCCTCCTCGTTAAAAGACTAGCACAACAGGTGAACAACATGATGAAAGAAGCAAAGATTTACATTTAGCATGAAAACAGCCCATTAATAAAATTGCCGTTCTGGTGGAACAATGTATGGAGTGACAGGTGCTGTGCCAGAGCCTCAGGATGGCAAGGGAGCAAGGCCACACTCAGAGCAGAGTTGTGGTCAATCAGCAGGGTCACGTATGTGACTATGCACCCTAATAGCATGCAGCTCTTCACCACAGAAAATGTGGCACCAGTACACTGGGGGTGCATCCAACACGGTGAGGACGCACGTAAGTTTCACCTGCTGGGACCCTCCACCCTGCATCTGAATCTCCCGCATCTTCCAACAGAAGGGCCTGACCAACCAACCCATCACACTAATGTGTAGATGCGCAGAACTCTTGCGCAGGAGACAGGACCCAAATGTTGGGCTTCACAGATTTTAAACGTCCTGAGATGAGCAAGGAAGATCTGGGCGGCGCGCCGCTTGCCGGATCTTAGCTTAAGTCCTCATTCCTGGCTGGTGCCCTCCTTCCCTTGGTTCTGGCCCGAGACCCGGTTCTCTGAGCCTCTGAGCTGATCCCACCCAACCTCCTGGCCCCAGCGGGTCTGTCCTGCGGTCCCCAAGTTCCTGCTCGGCGCGCCCTCTAGTGGTCAAGTATGGGGAGCGCAAGGGACTGCCAGGTAGGGAAAAGGCCATCAGTTGGTGCCCAAGGACCAATCTGGGATTTATGAGCGGGACAGAGCATGGACAAACAGGAATCTGTCCTGCACAAAGCCTGGGGGCCCGGATGTCTAAGAGACAAATCCAGGTAAGAGTGTGGGCTCTGCAGCCAGAGTCCCTGAAAGTATCAAACCAGTTAAGACACATGAAAGTCTTAGAATAGCGTAACCCACAGTACACACTCAATAAATGTTATCATCATCATCTTTTTAAGTATGAACATCTTTATT